TGCCACATCTTCTTTATCCATTCATCCGACGATGGGCACTTAGGTTGTTTCCATCTCCGGGCTATTGTAAATAGAGCTGCAATGAACATTTTGGTACATGACTCTTTCTGAATTCTGGTTTCCTCAGGGTATATACCTAGTAGTGGGATTGCTGGGTCATATGGTAGTTCTATTTGTAGTTTTTTAAGGAACCTCCATACTGTTCTCCATAGTGGCTGAACCAATTCACATTCCCACCAGCAGTGCAAGAGTGTTCCCTTTTCTCCACACCCTCTCCAGCATTTATTGTTTCTAGATTTTTTGATGATGGCCATTCTGACTGGTGTGAGATGATATCTCATTGTAGTTTTGATTTGCATTTCTCTAATGATTAATGATGTTGAGCATTCTTTCATGTGTTTGTTGGCAGTCTGTATATCTTCTTTGGAGAAATGTCTATTTAGGTCTTCTGCCCATTTTTGGATTGGGTTGTTTATTTTTTTGTTATTGAGCTGCATGAGCTGCCTGTAAATTTTAGAGATTAATCCTTTGTCAGTTGATTCATTTGCAAATATTTTCTCCCATTCTGAGGGCTGTCTTTTGGTCTTGTTTATGGTTTCCTTTGCTGTGCAAAAGCTTTGAAGTTTCATTAGGTCCCATTTGTTTATTTTTGTTTTTATCTCCATTACTCTAGGAGATGGGTCAAGAAGGATCTTGCTGTGATTTATGTCATAGAGTGTTCTGCCTATGTTTTCCTCTAAGAGTTTGATAGTTTCTGGCCTTACATTTAGGTCTTTAATCCATTTTGAGCTTATTTTTGTGTATGGTGTTAGGGAGTGATCTAATCTCATACTTTTACATGTACCTATCCAATTTTCCCAGCACCACTTATTGAAGAGGCTGTCCTTTCTCCACTGTATATTCCTGCCACCTTTATCAAAGATAAGGTGACCATATGTGCATGGGTTTATCTCTGGGCTTTCTATCCTATTCCATTGATCTATCTTTCTGTTTTTGTGCCAGTACCATACTGTCTTGATTACTGTAGCTTTGTAGTATAGTCTGAAGTCAGGCAGCCTGATTCCTCCAGCTCCATTTTTTGTTCTCAAGATTGCTTTGGCTATTCGGGGTCTTTTGTGTTTCCATACAAATTGTGAAATTTTTTGTTCTAGTTCTGTGAAAAATGCCAGTGGTAGTTTGATAGGGATTGCATTGAATCTATAGATTGCTTTGGGAAGTAGAGTCATTTTCACAATGTTGATTCTTCCAATCCAAGAACATGGTATATCTCTCCATCTGTTTGTATCATCTTTAATTTCTTTCATCAGTGTCTTATAATTTTCTGCATACAGGTCTTTTGTCTCCTTAGGTAGGTTTATTCCTAGATATTTTATTCTTTTTGTTGCAATGGTAAATGGGAGTGTTTTCTTGATTTCACTTTCAGATTTTTCATCATTAGTATATAGGAATGCCAGAGATTTCTGTGCATTAATTTTGTATCCTGCTACTTTACCAAATTCATTGATTAGCTCTAGTAGTTTTCTGGTAGCATCTTTAGGATTCTCTATGTATAGTATCATGTCATCTGCAAACAGTGACAGCTTTACTTCTTCTTTTCCGATTTGGATTCCTTTTATTTCCTTTTCTTCTCTGATTGCTGTGGCTAAAACTTCCAAAACTATGTTGAATAAGAGTGGTGAGAGTGGGCAACCTTGTCTTGTTCCTGACCTTAGTGGAAATGCTTTCAGTTTTTCGCCATTGAGGATGATGTTGGCTGTGGGCTTGTCATATACGGCCTTTATTATATTGAGGAAAGTTCCCTCTACACCTACTTTCTGCAGGGTTTTTATCATAAATGGGTGTTGAATTTTGTCAAAAGCTTTCTCTGCATCTATTGAGATGATCATATGGTTTTTCTCCTTCAATTTGTTAATATGGTTAATCACATTGATAGATTTGCGTATATTGAAGAATCCTTGCATTCCTGGAATAAACCCCACTTGATCATGGTGTATGATCCTTTTAATGTGCTGTTGGATTCTGTTTGCTAGTATTTTGTTGAGGATTTTTGCATCTATGTTCATCAGTGATATTGGCCTGTAGTTTTCTTTCTTTGTGACATCCTTGTCTGGTTTTGGTATCAAGGTGATGGTGGCCTCGTAGAATGAGTTTGGGAGTGTTCCTCCCTCTGCTATATTTTGGAAGAGTTTGAGAAGGATAGGTGTTAGCTCTTCTCTAAATGTTTGATAGAATTCGCCTGTGAAGCCATCTGGTCCTGGGCTTTTGTTTGTTGGAAGATTTTTAATCACAGTTTCAATTTCAGTGTTTGTGATTGGTCTGTTCATATTTTCTATTTCTTCCTGATTCAGTCTTGGTAGTTTGTGCATTTCTAAGAATTTGTCCATTTCTTCCAGATTGTCCATTTTATTGGCATAGAGTTGCTTGTAGTAATCCCTCATGATTTAAGTCTGAGGTCTTCTGCCAGCATTCAGTAGGTGTTCTGTAGGAGTTGTTTCACATGTAGATGTATTTTTGATGTATTTGTGGAGAGGAAGGTGATCTCCGCATCTTACTCCCCCTCCATCTTATAGGTCTCCTCTCAAACATGTAATTTACTTCCTGGACAATCCAATTTCTCATCTGTAAGTTGAGAATGAGCATTCATTTTTAAAATCTATATTCTTTCTCATTCCTAGAAGGATTACACTGGATGTGACTTACAAAAATACAGATGATTTATTAGTGTAAAATCAATAGTTTAGGAAATCAAAGAGAAAATTAGGAAATGAAAAGAAAATAAAACTAGGGAAACAATTTATGCTAAAAGAAGACAAAACAAACAACAAAGCTCATGCTCTAAGGTTCTATAAAGTTGTTATTGTTAGATCAGAAATTCTTCTGTGTGCTTTATAACTTCCAAAAGAAAAGGAAAATACAGTTGTGTATAAGATGTAGTATGCTACAATAAAATCACACCAATTGTTCAGGAGAATCATAGGTATTCCTGAAATGTCTCTCATTGTTCTTTGGAATGTGAATGGTTGGGATAGGGGTGACAGCATATTCTGTAGCTCCCCTCCAACCTCAGAGATGCCGCAAAGCATGCCAGTGGCATAATGCAAGCTGTTCAGTATGCTTAGAACATGGAAGAAGTGATGTATGTTTTTGTTGGGAAATTTCATCCCCTTTGACACCATTTTAAAGGAATGTCATTAAAAAAAGTATTTTTAATTGGTTTAAAACATGTATAATGGACAGACATTTTATCATCTGTGCTTTGTAAAAAGATGAGTATGTCAGATTTTGTAAAAAGAAAAGATGGTCCACTGTTACAAGTTATAGCCCTATCCTCATTATAAAATATTTTTATTATGCATTTGAACTCCCTTTTCATTACTCTCTGTTCATTAAAGTTTATAATATATTATTATAGTGTTATTTTGAAAAGCAAGCCTCGCATGTTATTTTTCTGGGAAGAAAACAAAAAATTTGGGGGATTGTTAAACATTTTATTTTTAAAATAGTTTTTAGCATCATGTGTAAAAAAATATTTGAACCTTTTTTCCTTTAGGTATCTCTTTGCATTCTTCTTTGTTCTCTGTCATTTTTGACAAATTTAATACACAAATAAGAGATAGCCAATGTTACCAGAGCAAAATAGCACTTCTCCTGACTACCAACTAGTGATGTTTTGTGGTCTAGCACAGCTGATAAATTAGGTGCTGTTGTAGGGTTCAGCTAGAGCAGATGAAAATAATTTATCAGAAAAACAAAGAAAATGAAACACTGAATCACCACAATTTTTTCTAGATTAGAGAATCAATCAAAAGCTCTAGAAGTGACTTGAGTTTAACAGCAGGATTCTGTATGTTTAACAATTATGTAGTGCATTTATTTTGAAATATTTATGGCCCTTATTTTATTTGAACTTTAGTAATGTAAAAAACCCCAGAATATTAAATACAGCCCTTCTCTTAAAAAGAAAAAACAATTTACATCTCCCAAAAAGTAAAACAAAAAAAGTAGTTGACACACTGCAAATGTTGATGTTTAAAATACTAGCTTAGGAAAACATATTGTCTTGATTTGGGGATTTATTTTGTTTATGTCAGATAAGCAATGATATAGCACAATTTTAATATTTAGTTGAAATATTTATGAAGAACCATCAGTACATACCTCACTGATTTTTATACATCTCCCCCAATATCTATAATACCATATATAGAATACTCAGTAATATTCTGGATCATTCTTAGAAAATGATTAAGAAGACTGATTGGTATTATTGAAATTGAAGCCTTTAAACACTATTTTAGAAAAGAAAATGTGAATGAATTAATTTTGATGAGAATGATGATAGACAAGCTGATAAAAATGTTACAAAAATGAAAGCCCTAAATAGGAAAGAAGAATTTACTTTGCCTGATTTTAATTAATTGATCTATACCTCCTTCATTTGAGTCTCATGTCTAGAAAAAACATTGAAATAACTTAAAATTGATATAGAACCTTAAAACTTAGATTTATTGTAATTTTTACCAGCCAATAATTACTTTAAATTGTTTTACTATTTTATAGTTTGCTATGCTATTTACTATCTTTCCACTCATTTCATCTTTTCAAAAAACCTATCTTTAATTTATCAGCATTTTGAAATTATGCAATTTAAATTATTCAAACTGAAAAATATTTTTGATTTCAGAAATGAGCAAATAGAGAGGTTATTAATAATGGATAATTAGAGCTTTCTGGCTAAAGGAGTAGCTTTTCAAATGAAGAGCCATTACAATATGTAACGTTTATAGTGGTTTCTCTCACCATTTAAGTTCTTTTGCCTTTTAACTGCTGAAATAAATCAATAAAATATTAATCCAGTTGAACAGGGAAAATGGGATTAAAACTTGTTTATAATATATATATTCGGTCTTTATAAGTAAATATGGCTATTTTTGTATCTATGCTTTCCCTCTGAATGAAGTTATGTTCATTTATTGCTACTTATTATTTTTTTCATTTAGGTTATTTCACAGTTGAGGATCTTGGGCAGATCAGTAACAGCTGGTAGCAAATTTGATAGAGAAATCTGGTCTAATGAACTTTCTCCTGTCCTCAATCTCTGGAAGAAATTAAACCAGGTTAGTAGTGGAATATTCTTCCTTTGTTTTCCCTTTTTTCTCCCTTTTTTTCCAGTTTTATCCCCAAATTGTCCATGTTGGTAAATATTGGTAAATTTTTGCATGGATCTGCCCTTAATGTATACAATATCCTGGAAAAAGATGGAGGAAATAAAAGCAATAGAAGATCAGCCCAAGAAGCAGTGTTACCGTGTAATTTGTCTTATCCTGGTAATGTACTATGACGTCCTCTATGTCTGATACATATTTTGCTCACTGCTTGTCTTCTCTCACCTCTTTCTGTAAAGTCAGTGACTGCTGTTAAAGGTGAAATTTTTCAAAGGAATCCAAGTGCTAAGGAAAAGCAATTCATCAACTGGAGTTGACTTGTTTCTATATTATAAAGTAGTTATAGATTATAGATGGTTGCTTGCTCACTAGGCAAAACCATTACAGTATTATTATTACTATTCTAATTGAATAAGGACTTACTTTCTGGAATTAAAAAAATATAATTTTACAATTCATATGTTTAGTAATGCTATAAAAATGCTTATATATCACATAGCCTTCTTCAGTAAGGGAAGTCAAATTAGGCTTATTTAAGAACCTGTGAAAAAGGTTAAAACTCTCTAAAAATTCAAAATCCTCAAACCTTATAGTATTGTAATTTCGAGTTATTCTGACTTAGTGTCAACAATTGGTGATTGTCAGGAGTCTGAATAAACAATGATCTCAAGTAACTGGAATTGCCACTTTATTTAGACCATCAGATTGATAAAGCTTTATATAGGTAGCTTGAGGAAAAATTAGAGAATGAAAAGAAATACTACATCCCTTAGCATCCCAATCCCGTGGTCTCCCCTTATGCCTGGTCATATAAGTAATCAAATTGTACAGATTCCTGACTATGAAATCATGGCCTGATTTCCATCCTTCATGTCAATTCATATTGAAGTTGTTATTCTTTACCTTCTTTTTTCTTAAACTAACCTTTGCATATCTTTAAATTAATAACCCAGTTTACACAAATTTATTGAGGAAAGTTGCTGTTAATCTGATTCTTATTTCTCTGTAACTCATTTGGTTTTTTCCTGTAGAATATTTTGTCTCTGATCTCCCTAAATTTCACCATAATAAATACAGGTGTGGATTTTGTTATGTTTTGTTTTGCATCTATTCATTTGCTACTCTGAGACCTTGCAATTCCAAAAGTCAGCCTTCCCAGCTATACCTGTTTCAGTTTGATCCCCACATTAGCTGGGCTGCATGCTGTGAAATATCAAGTACTCTGCTGTCTATGGCAGGTGCTTGATACTGCTATTTTTCAGTCCTAAAATGTTGACATAGTGGGCAATGTTCCATCCAGGGCAATATGAAAAGATAAGTTTGCAACCAGGAACTCTCCTAGCCTGGCTCCAGCCATGGCATCCAGCCCTCAGCTGTAGGTTACCATATTCTCCACTTACAAGTACCCAAACCCAGATGTTTCCCATTCTTTTTGTGCCATCTTCTGGGTTCAGTATCCTCTTGTTTTGTCAAAGACAGGATTCAGAAGTGGGAGGTAGTTTGCCATTTTGACCAGAAACAAACAACTTTTTAAACTTCATTTTAACTTTTATTTGTAAGATAGATATAGATTCATTAAAAGGTTATCATTATATTATATTCATAGTAGTCAAATTAATCTATCAAATATCTTGCACTTCATTCTGTTATAATGTTTTGTTCTTTATCTCTCCCATTTCCTTCCTGAAGCTATTGCCATAATGTAGACTTCTTTCTCATATGGATTATTGCAGAAAACACCAAATTTGACTCTCCTTATAATATATACTTCCTCCAAGTCATATTTCAGATCATCATCACATTAATTTTCCTAAAGAAAATCATTTTTCACAACATGGCTCGATATCCACCCTGACTTGTAAGCCTCTTCCATAGTAAGGTAGCTTTCAGTGATTCTGTCTGTGAGGACTTTCCAAATGCAATTTCTTTCTTCCGGAATCTCCTAGCTATGCTAAACCAGTAATGGGCAAAGTGCCAGCATCTTTCAGAAGCCTCTCAGCTATTACTCATTTCCCTCTTCATGTTTCTATAGAACAAACTTATAAATCACATAACCATAAAAGTTATATTTTAAACTAAGCAAGTTAAGATATGGTGCTTAGGAATAAGAATTCTCTTATTTTGGGGTAGCTTTAAATTTTATGCATATAAATATTTCAAATAAAACAAACTAATGCCACATTTCTGTTATAGAATTTTTCCATAATTATTTTTATCACTTCTGAACTTTTTAAAAAGTTTTTCTTTTGTAAAAAAGGAGTAATAATCTTTTCTCTGCATTCATTTGTTCATTTATTTCATTCATCAAATATCTATTGATGTGTCTGCTATATGCTTGGCACTGTGCTAGATGCTGTGATTTATTAAGAGATGATAACAATACACAAAAATATAGGTATTACAATGGTCTTTGGGAACCAAAATGAGGGAGTGTTAAATTCTGCTAAGAGGAAGTCAGAGGAGGTTACATTATGAGTAAGAAATTCTTTAGAGGGACTTCCCTGGTGGGCTGGTGGTAAAAACTCCGCCTTCCAATGCAGCGGATGCAGGCTCGATCCCTGGTCGGGGAACTAAGATCCCACATGCGGCAGGGAAGCTAAATCCATGCACTTCAACTAGAGAGCTCGCATGCCACACACTACAGAGCCCACATACTCTGGAGCTTGCATGCCACAACTAGAGAGAAAACCTGCATGCCACAACTAGAGAGAAGCCCACATGCCACCACGAAGAGCTTGTGCGCCACAACAAAAAGATGCCACATGCTGTGATGAAGATCCCGCATGCCACAACGGAGACCCAACTCAGCCAAAAATATAAATAAATAAATAAATAAATAAATAAATAAATAAATAAAATATTTTAAAAAATGCTTTAGATTAAAAAAAGAGGTTACATGATGAGCAAGAAATTCTCTAGTTAAAAAAGAGTATATGGTATTTCAGAGAGAGAGAAAAGTCTGCCATGTTTGTTATTCTAACCTGACTGGAGTAAAGAATGCTTTGAATGGAATGGCTAGACATAAGAGCAAAAAAATTTAGTAGGACCAGGTTGGAAAGGGTTTAATGTCACGAGGAGTGATTATAATTTATCCTGTAGGCAGTGAGGATGTAATGCTAATAAGAAGGTGGGAAGGTGATATGTAAAGATCTGTGTTTTATAAAGGCAAAACTGATGATGGTGTAAGCAGTGGATACTAGAGGCCTGAAAACCAATTTAGAGGAAGTTACAATGTTCTAAGAGCAAAATCGTGGGAACCTTATTGAATATGGTGACAATGTGAATATAAAGTAAGAGAAGAGTCAAAGATATTTCAAAAGTAAAACCAGTCTTCAAAGGATGATTGTATGGATCTAATAAAAAAATAGATGGAACACTATTTGTCAAACATAAACTCTTTATGGATTAAGTCTTTTGTATCTTTCTTATTTCTTTAAAGATTTGTAGATTTTTAAAGTTTAGTATAACAAGCCCTAGTAGTATTGATGACGTTGCCACATTCAAGATATTTTATTAATTTAACCTTTCATGCTTGAAGGTTAAATTGTCAAAATTTTTAGTGACTGTATTAGTGATTATATCTTTTTCAGGGAAATATATATACAAATGTGTAATTATAACTTTTAACATTATTTTGTATTAACTGTTAATTCGTATGTTATTATATCATCTTTTAAATAGTTTAGATGCATAATTTAGTAACATCTCATATTTTGTGACATTTTTCTTGGGATTTCCACTGGAAAACTTAGTACTTTGGAAAACAATAATTTAAAAAGCAAAATGCTGAAAAGTATAACACATGAAAAACCTAATGTCATTTAATATTCTGCACGTATACATTCAAAAGGTCAGTTCATGCTTTAAAATTTTTATTATATACCAGCTCACCAAGCAGTTTTTAATATCTGGTTGATGGTGATAACTGATGAGAATTACTGGCATTCTAACCAATTTACATCTCCTTTATATAGCTTGAGAACTTCCATTAATTCTCATATGATAAAAGGTACATGTAAAACTGTCTCTTTTAGGTTGATAGAATTTGTTGAGCAAAAGATAGGTGACAGATTTTTTTCTGAGCAGCAATTGAACTGGTTGACCCAGTAACTATTTTTAGTATTTCTTTCTTCAGGTTCATAAGTAGATTTGTATATCTGTTAAATTACACTTCTAAACTCAGAATACCTTAATTTCAAAAGAATGCATTGAAATAAAATTAAATGAAATTTAAATCTAGAGTGCCAGGATAAACAATTAATAGGACTAATACTTTCTTATGTTTTTGAACTAAAAATTTTAATATCTTTAAAATTGATTAGTTTCATATTATGTTTGAAAAGAATGTGTATTCTACTCTGTTGACTGCTATTCTCAAATTATATTCTTTAGATCAAGTTTTTTAAATGTTTTGTTCACAAATCATAATATATAATAGTTTTTTTCTATCAATTTTTGAATTATAAAGGTTCAGAATGCTACCTCTTCTTGATATATTGAACCACTATCATAGTAGTTCTCTTTAACTCTTATAATGTTGCTCCTATTTTTCTGGTATTAATAAATCTGTATCAGCTTTTTTTTAGTTACTATTTGTTAGATATATCCTATTTCATACTTTCAACATTTAAATCAATTTTTATGGGTGTATCTTATAAAGAGCCTATAGCTGGATTTTGTTTGATCTTTAGCTGGAACATTAAGTCTATTTACATTAATCTGGTTTACTATATTATTATATGTTATGTTTTGTATTTTTTCTACTTTTTTTTACTTCTTTCTTGTCTTCTTTTGGACTATTTTCTCTAATATATTGCTCTCTTAGTTTACAGATTATATATCTTTTCTACTTTTTAGTGGTATCCTAGATATTTTATTGTACATACATAGATAACCCAAGTTAAACAATATATTTGCCTACCTGGCAGATAATTCAAGAAGCTTAAGACGTT